CCCCTCCCTATATATTGTAAGCCGCCCTGAGTCCCCTCAGGGAAAAGGGCAGCCTATAAATAATAAAACCATAAACCATAAACCATAATTGTCCTCACTGTTAGGAAGTTTCTCCTTAATTCCAGGCTGCTTCTCTCCTTGATCAGTTTACATCCATTGTTTCTTGTCTTGCCTTCTGGTGCTTTGGAAAATAAGTTGACCACCTCTTCTCTGCAGCAGCCCCTCAAATACTAGAATACGGCTATCATGTCACCTCTAGTTCTTCTTTAGACTAGCCATATACAATTCCTGCAAGCTTTCTTCATATGTTTTTGTCTCCAGACCCTTAATCAACTAAGTTGTTCTTCTTTGCACTTTTTCCAAAGTCTCAACATTTTTTTGTAATGGAACCAAAACTGGATGCAGTATTCCAGGTATGCTCTTAGTAAAGATTTATAAAGTGGTACTAATACTTCATGTGATTTTGACTCTATGCCTCTATTTATACAACCAATGATTGTATTAGCCTCACAATTTTCACAACAGGTGAAATATAAAATTATGCCCATCATTGTTGAAGGAGAGGATGTTGGGCTATATAAAGCAGTATTTTAATAGTTCTTTGTGTTATGTAATGGGATGGTGTAATTATAAGTAGTAGTCCAAAATGATTTACAAATGACAAATGTAGGTTAATCCTTAACTAGAGCAAGGTTATTATTTGACCAGCAGAGGGAGACATTGAGAAATACAGTTTTGAGGAAAGAGCTGTAAGTGGCTGAAATAGATCATCAGGCCTTTATGCAGCTTATATTGCATGCCTCAGAAACAAATCCATTTGCTGACCACACAAAGTGTAGAAAGCTACCTACTTAACCCACTCTCAATTTCTACTCCCTATTATTCTACTTATATTGTACAGCAGCTTAATTTTCTGGGGTTGGAAGTGTTACACCCTTTGAAGGCATACTGGATTGGGGTTAAAACTGGAATGAACCAATAAAATTCTAGAATGGGGTGTCAAACGGAATTTCTTCAAGGGCTGGGTCAGCATTGTAGTTCTCTTCCGCAGGTTGGCAGGGGTGGGTGGGAGATGGCATGGATGCCTCCTGCAGCACTTTGCCAGCCAAAAATGGGCTGCACGGAGGCCCTGAGAGGCCCCTGCCCATTTTTTTGCCAGCAGAGTGCTGCTGGAGGCAAGGGAGACTGAAAATCTCCCCTGCCTCCAGCAGCAAATCTCCCAGCAAATTTGAAATAGAAACCAAACATTCCGAAGGATTTACTTTGTTTGAATTTCTTCCAACTAATATATCTTAAGCAACTCCCCAAAAAAGCACTTCTTCTCACTGATAACTGATAACCTAACCTTGACTGTGCGGGAAGTTTTAATTAACCAACTGCCANGATTTGCACCCCCTCCCTGGTGATTGTAAGCCGCCCTGAGTCCCCTCAGGGAAAAGGGCGGCCTATAAACCCAAATAAAATGAAAATGAAATGAAATGAAATAAAATTTGGTGACAGAAGAAGCTTAATAGTTGTCAGGATGGCACTTTGAATGGAAGGCTTATAAAATTTTATAGTTTTAAAAGTTTAATAGTTTTATAGTTCTTATGCTCATCAGTGACCCAAATAAATAAACATTAACAACAATTGCCTTCCACTTAGGCAATTTGGCAGCTATTGAGAGAGAGGTGATGACTAAGTTCAAGAGAATATAAAAGCCCTCAAAGATATTACTAGCATTGTAAATTCTAAACTGAATGTAGCTGAAAAAATTAAGTCAGCTGAAAGATTGTGGGAAGTCAGTAGATACATGTGTAATTGCTTTATAATTGTTTCCAGATTATTACGGGGAATTCAGAAATCATCTCATAATCACACTGAAACTGAAATATACCTGATATGTCTTTAAGCTCCTGTTGAAGAAGGAAGATTATGTTCTTCCCCTTATGTTTTGGGTTTTGTTATTATCCTTATTTTTATCCAGACTGTTAAATATTTTCATTTTGGAGATTAAATTATGCATTCACTTATGATAGCTATATATCCTTGGCTGCAGAGGATGATTATGAATTGCAGTTATTTCCACAGATATGATCAGAATATATGTTCAAATAATGGTCATTAAGCATGTTGTTGACCCTGACACTTCTTATTTTACCACTAAATTCTTAACTATCCATTCCCACTGTATTAAATTTATTTTAGATTACTCTTGTCATACTCAACTCTTGTTTCATGAGCAAAAGCATCTCTTATATACAGACCTTTCCCTTTATTTTGACAGAATGGAATTTGGATAGCAACTTGCAAGATAGTCCTCCATGTTTTTACCCACAATTGTGCATCTTAACATTTTTGGGTTGATTGAGGTGTTTTCATCTATCACTCTCTCCTTTTTGGGGTGGTCTGAACCATTTTTCAGAGTAGAATCACAACATGATCATTTGTATTCTGTTTTAAAATCATAGATGACCCAGATGTGAGGTACACAGCAGTAAGCAGCTTTATTTTTCTGAGATTCTTTGCTCCTGCAATTCTTTCTCCAAACCTTTTTCATCTTACACCGCATCACCCAGTAAGTACTTCAGTTTCAGGAGGTCAATGATGAGCCCATTGTGTCCTTCCCTTTGAGGCACTATATCTTATTTACTGTTGGCTCTTTTTCATTGTTTGGGTTTTAGACTTTATCTGACTAGTTACAAGTTATAGTTTGTATCACTTTTTTACAATTCAAATGCTGAAATGGGCAATACTTAAATGTGCAGTACCTTACACAAGATATTAATATGAGTGTTGAAACTTCATATCAAATCTCATATATGGCTATTCCTAAAGGGTGATAAAATGTGAACAAGAAATGTTTACCACCACATTGACAACTCTTAAGGGCAGGCACTGTTCCAGCAGTAGAAATAAAAAGGGTAAGTGGTGAAAATTTAGAAAAGTAAGTAAATGGTGGAAAACTAACACATGAGGAGAATTAACTTGTTCATCTGCATATGTGAAGATTTATTTTGTTTCTTTATATGCAACAATTTAGTTTTAAAATTCAAATATATCTTATCTTATTTTTTCAGCAGCAAGTGCTGCTGAAAAAAATGTTTAAAAAATTATTCAGTTATGGAATTTTGTAAATGTGCATATTCCATTGTATTCTTAGTTTTAAAAAATATTTTTCCAAATTGGCAATTAGCATTTTTCTCTAGGCTGAATTCTTTTCAACACAAAATTATTTTCACCCTGGTCCTGTAAATAGCATATTTACTTAATTCTGCAATGTTGGATCTCACAAAGGAAACTAAATAGGAATGTTGGGGCAGCCACTAAGAATCCTGTTCTTTACGTTTTTTCTGCCTAACAAAAAATTAAATTTTTATTGGTCAAACTGGAAAATAATAAAATGTCCTTAACAACTAGCTACTAAACTAAGCAGAGTAGCCGGAGAATCCTGCCAGATACAAAAGTCCTTAAACTTTCTTCTCACTTACTCACTTAAACTTTACATACAGAATAAGAAAATGCATTTTAATGAACGTAAACCAGAAGCTAACTTTTCTGATTTCCCACAGCAAATTATAACATGGTGGTTTTCTCTTTTGTATAGGATCCACAAACTTCAAGAACTTTGACACTGATCTCTAAAACCATACAAACATTAGGAAGTTTATCAAAATCTAAGTCTGTAAGTATCCGGAATTATGAGTATTTTTGCATTTCTGTAATTAAAGCCTATAGGGACGCAGTGGCTCAGTGGATAAGATGCTGAGCTTGTCAATCAGAAAGGTCAGTGGTTCGAATCCCTAGCGCTGCGTAACGGAATGAGCTCCCGTTACTTATACTAGCTTCTGCCAACCCTAGCAGTTCGAAAACACGTAAAGAACGCAATTAGAAAAATAGGGACAATCTTTGGTGGGAAGTTAACAGCGTTCCATGCGCCTTCACCGTTTAGTCATGCCAGCCATATGACCACGGAGACATCTTCGGACAATGCTGGCTCTTCGGCTTTAAAACAGAGATGAGCACCACCCCCTAGAGTCAGGAACGACTAGCATATATGTGCAAGGGGAACCTTTACCTTTTAGTTAAAGCCTTCTTTAAAGTGGCACTACATGAGACAAAACAGGAATATTTCTAGCTATGTTGACCATCTTGAGTTGACCAAAATATGTTTTTAAAAGGCGAAAAATAATATCAGTTGAAACCCATCAAATGATTGAAAGTGCATATTGTGCAAAAAAGCAAAAGAAACAGTAGATCATATACTCAGTTCATGCAAAGAGATCACACAAACTGTTAATAAATAATGACATAATACAATTACCAAAATGACTTACTGGAACATCTGTAAAAATTATCGTGTACCAGTAATGAACATAGAATATCAAAAGTAAAAAATTAGCAGGTTAAAATATTGTGAGGTTTCCAAAAACAGACTGATAAAATCTTGACTCAAAGTATGCCAGATATAACTGGTTGCAAAGAAAGTATGGATAATTGAGGCGGCAATACCAGGGGATAGTAGAATAGGAGCCAAAGATTGGAGAAGATCACAAAATATCAAGATTTGAAAATTGAAATTAAAATTGAAAGATTCTGGCATAAACTGTCTGTGATGTCCCACGGATATTACCATACTGGGTGCTGTACCAAAACATCTTGGATGCTACTTAGAAAATTGGTTCATTGACAAATTTTCCCTCTGTTACAGTGGTGGGTTGCAGGCGGTGCACCCTGGTATGGGCGTACTGGTGCCTGCCCGGAGCATCAGGTACCATTCTGGTACAGTGCTCCGGAGGGCCGACCCGCCTGCTGAGCTCCTTTCCTGTATTTGAGCTCTTTGACGCTTCCCCGCTCATGCACGGAGCACACGGCACCTGCGCAACGCTCCGCCAGCAGCTGGAGCGTCGCGGAGGTGTCGCAAGAGGTAAGGACACAAGCACGCGCTGTGCGCATGTGCACGTTCATGTGGTGGATGTGGGTGGAAACCCACCACTGCTCTGTTAATTGCAAAAAGCCACACTGTTTGGGTCTGCACCTAGTACTACACTGATACAATAAGTTGTCCTAAGTTCTTGGGAGAAACCTGATGTGTACAAAGGCTAACTGTGAACAGATAGTAATAAGAATAAGCTAATATGGAATATGTTTATTTGATTGTAGTATAATCTGTATAAATCCATGTTTTTACCAGTGTGGGGAGGGAAGAATGAGTGGGATGCAAAAATAATGCAGGTCTTGAGAATATATGAATTGTGATCCAGGAGTTTCTCTAAACCAGCAAAAAACCCTGAGAGATTATTCATTGGTATGGCCAGCCATTTTCCACCTAGAGCTTAAAGTTTGTTTGTGAGACACATGTCCTATGAACTAATACTCCTGACTTGTTTCTAGCATTAAATCAAAATCTAGGCCATCAGGAAGAGTTTTTAAAATCTTTTTTACCATTGAAAATTATTTATCCATGAGTTAATGAATCTGATTTTTTTCCTGTATTTTGATATCAAGTTTCACAATCAAAATGGTGATTTTATTTCAGGCCAGTTTCAAGGAATCATATATGGCTACATTTTATGACTACTTTAATGAGCAAAAATATGCAGATGCAGTAAAAAATGTAAGTATTAAAAACAATATTTTCNGGCCACACCCACAGAGTAGGTTTGAACAATTTTTGAAACCCACCACTGCTTTAGAGTAAACTTTTATTAATCCACGTTTTAGAATGTCTAGACAAGTGACTAAGATCAGCTTTCAGTCAGATCCTCCATAATAAGCATTTTTTTCATCCAGAGTGCATTCAGAAAATATAATAAGATTAGATTTCCCAACCTTCGCAACTTTAAGATGTGTGGACTTCAATTCCCAGAATTCCCCAGCCACCCATACTGACGAAGGCTTAGGAATTCTGGGAATTGATGTCCACTCATCTTAAAGGTTGTGGGAAACCCTGGTATATACTAATGAATATCATGATTTTGCTCTTCCTGTTCCAGATAAGATAACAGCTTAACAGAGTTGGAAGGGACCTTATAGGTCATCTAGTCCAACCCTCCCTCAAAGCAGGGAGGATTGGACCATTTCCAACTCTGCTATTGTATTGTATTGTTATTACACTATTACAGATGTTAAAACCGATAAGAAGGTAATGTAGAATAGAGAACTGCAAAAGCTAAACATGTACGCCAATACAGAAGGTTGTAAAACTATTTTATATTGTTCTGTTTGTCTTGATTTTTCTGTATTTGTCGTCCCCCACCATTTTTAAAGGTTAAAATGTTTAATAAAAACTATTTTTTAAAAAACTGAGATGAGATAAAGGCAGTTGTTGAGTCTGTTGCTGTTTGTTACTAATTGATCCAGTCCCAGAGTAGTAATGGCATTGTACAGGTTTGCATGCAGGGGTTCAGATATACATTCATTCGGAGTCCAGAATAAGAGGTAAATTGAGGTCACCGAGGGAGATAAGAGGGGATGGATTTTGGGGAGCCACAAATTTTGGATGCTATTTGGAACCCTGACAACAGGAGGCTGCCCACGTTAGTAGTGAAGTTAGCTTGGTTGCATGAATGAGGTGGTAGTCAGGAGCTCTGTAACATAGTAAGAAGCGAAATGTGGTATTTAATGACGATGGTCTTAGGAAGGGGAAGCTCCTTTGTAACTTGAATCCTTTTTTTAGATTTAGGGACTTTTTGTAGACGATAGCAACTCCGTCCAAAATTTGTGTTGTTAAGTGGCACGTTTGTTAAGTGGGTTTTGCCCCATTTCATGACCTTTCTTGCCACAGTTGTTAAGCGAATCACCGCAGCTGACAAGCTAGTAACATTGTTGTTAAGTGAATCTGGCTTCCCCACTGATTTTGCTGGTCAAAAAATTGCAAAAGCTGTTTACCTGACTTAGGACACAGCAACGATCATAAGTATGAACCAGTTACCAAACATTTGAATTTTGATCACATGATCGTGGGGAACGCTATAAAGATGTAAGGGTGAAAAACGGTCATACATCATTTTTTCAGTATCATTGTAACTTTGAACAGTCACTAAATGAACTGTTGTAAGTCGAGGACTACCTGTATCTATTCCTAATTATTAATGGTCATAATTGTGAAAAATTGTCCTAAGTCACTTTTTCAAAGCTGTTGTAACTTTGAACGGTCACTAAATAATCAACATCTCCTATTCAGAGAGCACCTGTGTAAACAACCCATGCTCTTCTCTATAAACAAGCTGAAGCCTTTGAAGTGCAA